AATAAATCCATCAAGTTTTTATGACAGCCACCATTATGTTTATATGAAAAAAACAAAAAAACTAATTGAAGTAGAAATATTATGTAATTGTAACTTTATTATTAAAAAAACTTCATTAAGTGTAATTTGAACAAATCAGTCAATTTTAACCTCCAATATTATAGTAATGTAGAACCAACTGACTCGCATGTATATTTTACAGCATTAGTTGAGAGATTTTTTTTTCCTTGAGAAAATTTGGCACGTACTGTACCTGATATTTATCCAAAATAATCGACATTGAATCGAATCGAATTGGTAATCGAATCGAATTGCAAGCTTGTGAATGAGAATCGAATTGAATCGTGAAATTTGTGTCAAAACCCAGCCCTAGCGTTTGTGTATGGATGTGTTTTTGTTTGTCTGTTTACAGGTCTTTAATCGTCTCTGGTATCCCATTGTGAGGCAGGGAGCGCTGGTGGTACTTTCACACATGCTGCTTAGTTTCCAGCACTCTCCTGAAGCCTTCCACTTAGTAAGGCCACTGTGAACATTTTGCTCCACTTTCTTTTTTTTTTTCTTTTAATATTCAAACGAGTTAGAACATTGTAAATGTTTGTAGTGCTTTTAAGGAGCTGTGGTTTTTAGTATCTGATTTTAGCATTTTAATATCTGCTTTGTAATCATGTAATGTGAATTATATAACCCTTGTCATTTGTACCAGATGGTTCCTCATATAGTTCCACTTGTAAAGTCTTTGAAGAACGATGGCCTTCCCAACAGCAAAACCTTCCTGCTGCAGTTTGCAGAACTCATCCACTGCATGATGTACCAATATTCTGGCTTCCCAGACCTCTATGACAGCATTCTTGAATCCATTAAAGTAAGATATAAGACAGGGAATCTCTGGTTTTAGCTCTCGTGAGATAAATTAAGAATGCACAACAGTTAACATGTTTTGTGTATCATTGCTGAATTGATTTAGCATTTTGTCCTTGTATGTAATAACTAATTTTATAGAGAATCGTTCAGATGTTTGGGGTCAGTAAGGTTAATATTTCTGAAAGAAGTCTCATGCTCCTCAAGACTGCAGTTTGATGGAAAATACAGTAATAACTCTAATATGGTGAAATATTATAAATAAAATAACTGTTTTCTATTTTAACACATTTTCAAAGGAAATTATATTTCTTTGATGGCAAAGTAGAATTTTTAGCAGCCCTTACTTCAGTCTTCAGTGTCACATGATCCTTCAGAAATCATTTTAATATGATGCTCAAGAAACATTTATGTTGTGCTTTGAGTCTTTGAGCGTTCAAAAGCACAGCACTTATTTAAAATAGAAATGTTTTGTAACATTATTAGTGTTTACTGTTGCTATTCAATTGAATACATCCTTGCTGATAAAAAGTAATTAATTTCTTTTAAAAAAAAACAAAAAAAACCTTACTGAACACAAACTTCAGAACAGTAGTGTATTTGAATGCTTCATCTGTTTTATATCCACCTCTGGTTCTGTTGTAGGAACTACCTAAACCTAATGAGGAGAAGATCAAATTTGTTCTGAACCAAAGTGCCTGGACCTCTCAGTCAAATTCATTTGCCTCAGGCCTGCTTAAGATCACAGGAAAATCAGAAACGGGAAAGACGGGACTTGTGAATCTGGGCAACACGTGCTACATGAACAGCATCATCCAAATTTTATTTATGGCTACTGAGTAAGTTTTAAATCTATTGCTTATTATCTGATCTCTTTCTCAACTGTTCTACTGTCATGAATCTAACATTAACATTCTCCAGTCCATATGCAGCAGATAGCATTACGTTTTTATACCGTTAGGTTTTAATGTTCACATGTAAACAATATAAAACATCATAAAAGGATCCTCAGGCATTTAAATATTTATATTTTAAACTGTAAGATATGTCTCATATTTTTAACAGTCTCTCTTTAAAAGTTTCAGACGGCATGTTATGTCTCTGCATTTAAATGGTAGCAACACCCTCATGAAGAAGCTCCAGCTTCTTTTTGCCTTCTTGGCCCACACACAGGTATGTTTATCTTCTGTGCAGTTTCCTGTATGTCCTTTGAAACGTTGCATTGTTTGACATTGCTAGGTAGGTGTGTTTAATGAGAGTATTAAAGGGGTCGTATTATGCTTTTTCACTTTTTCAACTTTAGTTAGTCTGTAATGTTGCTGTTTGAGCATAATTCGAGCCGTTCATGCCAGACTGGGGAGAGAGGTGTTGTAATAATGTAAAATATGTGAAAAATAATGTGTTTTTTGAACAACCTAGTATGAGAGCCTGTTCTAGTACACCCCCAAAACAAAATCAAGACTTTGTAAAAGAGCATAATAGGACCCCTTTAAGCATACCTGCTGGTGATTTATTTATCATGTTATTTGCCCACCAGAGAGCAGCATATTCTCCACGGAGTTTTTTGGAGGGTTCTCGGCCGCCGTGGTTTACAGCTGGATCCCAGCAAGACTGCTCAGAGTATTTGCGCTTTCTGCTGGACAGGTAAACTCAGAAAATGGCTATGGGAAGAAAGATGTATGTTTAAGAGTTGCTCTAGGCATACCGTTTTGCTAGACTGAGTTGATTTTGAAACTTTATTAGGGCAGTTTATGGTAACACGTTCATTCAATTTGACATTACAACTGCTTTATTCTGTTACATGATTCCCGAAGACCGATCAGAACAAGCTGAACTTTTGCAAGAGCACAAGCAGACATCTGTCTTCGATACATATTTACATACACGAACACACAGTAGAATTCTGGTTCCTGTTTGTCAGGAATAATGTATAAAATACCCTTGTAATATTTTTTTTTCATAGCTCAAGGAGTATGAAGTATAAGTGAGCAAGTAAACTACAAGCGAAACACACATTCATTTGTACAGACATTAAAAAGAAGACCGTAAGAGGACAGCCAGTCAGCTTCAGTATAAGCTGGTCAAATATAAGTCCATAACGTGTGGGGAAATTTTGTTCGCAGTTGTTTCTCATTGGGCAGTAACATATTTTCTTCATTTACATGGGTTAGTGTGATTTTTTATTGCCATCTAGAATCCAGAATGTCTGTTTTTCTCCTGCCACCTGCATAAAAATTCACAGTAAGAATCGACATCTCTTGAGTTTACAAAGAGGGATTAATCCAAAAATCGCTTTTTCTACAGCCAAGCACCATACGGTAACTGTTGCACTTCACTGTAATGTGTATATGTTTTAAGAATAATATCATGTCGCTGCTTCACTACAGGGTGTAAGAGCTGTTAAGAATTGAAAGTGAAAGAAGTGAACAAAATAATGTAAACTTTTGGAAATAATAATGGATAAATAATGGAATCTGTTATTACTATGGCTTCAACAAGTAGGTGATAAAATGTTTAAATATGTATTATATACTTTTTTATATATTAGGGCTAGCATAGCGATCATTTTACTAGTCAACCAAGTTGCTGGGTTAGATGTTTACCTTATGTAAATAAGAGGTTGTGTGTAATTTTCACATTTTAAAAATAATTTTGAGAGAGAAAATGCAAGACAGAAAAACCATTCAATTTTCTTATTAGATGGGAATGGGATATTTAAATAAATACATAAATAGGATATTTTATGAAATTAATATTTAATTTATTATGTGTCTAAGTAATAACATTTATTTACATGTGACTGACCACACCTTTCTGGTTTCATAGGGTAAAATTGTCACATGAAAGGATTATCAGTTATCAAAGTTTTATCAGAGGAGCCATGCAGATTTATTTTTACAGACAGCCACATGAGCAGGGCCATTTTTAGCTGACATGGGCCCCGTGCTTTGAGGATGAGAAAAAAAAACATTAGAAACACTGCTTTCCAAATAAATCTATATATTATTTAATAACTGCAGATTTTCAGCTCCGTGAAATCTAATTCTGTTTGTTGTCTTGAAGTTTTACTACGTGTGTCAGCGAAACCACATTTATTATCTATCATTTTTGAATAATAATAAATATGAGATTTATGGTGATTGAGTATATTAATTGATTACAGCTCTAAAACCAATAAAATAATGTGTTTCCTTATTTACACCAGCAGGGGGAGATTTTGCATTTCATGTATTTTGTTCTGTCTTCTTATGTGATATTGAGGTTGCATGAAGAAGAGAAGACTCTCTCAGCATTTCAGGTGACCAGCCCAAAACCTGAACCTGCAACCACTTCTGCTGAAACTCTAAACAATGCTGTAAGTCAGCCAGTCGCTGATATGCCATCGCATCCAGATCCTGTGGCAGCCAACGGAGATGGTCGCACTCTAGTGGAGCGTATGTTTGGTGGTCGACTCTCTACAGCCATCCGCTGCCTGCAGTGTCACAGCCTGTCAGAAAAAGAGGAGCCATTTACAGACCTCTCTCTTGCATTCTGCCCCTCGATGTCCAAGTGCCACGGTCCCATCGATGAGCACAAAAGCTCCTCCTCTGTGGGACCCTGCCAAGGGGCGGTGAATGGAGGCAGTGAATCCTCGGAGGGCTCAGTAAAAGAAGGTGCAGGAACCAGGATGGAGAAGCCGGTGGTGGAGCCCACACTGTCTGTACCAGATTTGGTCGACTACTTCCTAGCTCCAGAAATCCTAGAGAACGAGAACTGCTACTTCTGTGAGCGCTGCGCCTCACTGCAGAGGGCCGAGAAGGTCATGCGGGTGGTGGCGGCACCGGAGTACCTCATTCTGACTCTGCTGCGCTTCTCGTACGATGCCACCTGCCACGTCCGTCGCAAGATCCTGGACAATGTAGGCATTCCGCCTCACATGAGCCTGCCTTTACGCCAGCCCGGTATCTCCGTTTCATCATCTTCCTCAACTGCAGTTACATCTTCCTCCTCTGACTCCCCCGAGAGTGGTGAGAATCTAGCTAAGAAGCTCAAGCCTTCTCAAAAGGAGGATGGGATGACGGGAAACAGAACAAATAGTGAGTCAAATGACAGTGATTCGGAAATGCTGTCAGTGCCGTATGTTTTGAGTTCTGTTGTAGTGCATTCTGGGATGTCCTCTGAGAGCGGTCACTACTACTCGTATGGAAGGAATGGGAGTAGCACTGATGGTTATGTAGCTCACCCAAGTTCTAAGACCCTGGAAAGCTCCAGCCTATCAGAGAGCTCGACAGCCTCACAGGAGGAAATGGGATGCGCTGACCACAAGTCCACCGACTGGTTCTTGTTTAATGACAGCCGAGTGACTTTTACAAACTTTGAGTCATTGCGGAACGTCACCGGTCGCTTCCCTAAGGACACAGCCTATGTCCTGATTTACAGGAAACAAGAGGTCAGTGGACAACCAAGCAATTCTGGGCCAGTTGTAAATGGCTCAAGACTGAGTGGAGAGCCGCCCCTGCAGAAGGAGCTGATGGATGCCATTACCAAAGACAACAAACTCTTCCTACAGGTGGGAATATTGTACTTTGTCTGTGGTGCTCTTTTATGCTCTCCAAGAAAATAGCCTAAGATGCTGACATGGCATTAAACAAAAAATATACTACTACTACTATTATACTCTCCAAGGCTGCATTTTTTTTATCAAAATACAATTAATAAAGGTAATGTTCTGAAATACTGTTTCAATTTAAAATAACAATTTTAAACATTTTAATATGTTTAAAAATATATTTTATTCCTGTGATGGCAAAGCTGAATTTTTAGCAGCCATTACACCAGTTTTCAGTGTCACATGATCTTCGGAAATCATAATATGCTGATTTGATGCTCAAGGAACATTACTTATTATTATTGGTGTTGAAAACATTTGCACTACTTCATATTTTTGTGGAAACTATGCATTTTTTTTCAGGATTCTTCTATGACTAGAAAGTTCAAATGAACAGCACTTATTTAAAACATTTTTTGTAACAGTGTAAAATATTTTACTGTAGATTTAATGCATCTTTGCATTACCCCCCCTAAAAAAAAAGCTTTTGAACTGTAATGTATAATCTGTTATCTTGTCAGTGCCATAACACTCATTTGTTTTGTTCAAAAGTACATGCATTTCTCATATAAGACTTGCATACACATTTTCTATCAACATTTCTGAATTAAAATTCATTTTTGTGTTGTACAACTGTCCTGATAGCACAATGAATGAAAACTTGCTTCTAAAAAGAAAACCTTACTAGATAGTAAGATTTTCACAAAGTCGTTTTAACAAATTCAAATGAAAACTTAAAGTAATATGGTACAAAATCATGAAGGGGGAAAAACGTAGGACATGAAATTATTTTTTTTAAAGATTATGGCTCTTTGTAAAGTTCAATACATCTCTTAACATATCAGATAGTTTACATTTTAAGCTTTGTTGATTATATTAAGATATACTCTTACTTTTTCAAGGTGTAATGACATTTTTTTATTGTTATTCCACATGACATTTTCAAATAAAAGTTGTCAAAAATGTTTTTTCAATGAAATATGGAACGTTTTTCTTTATCTCTTATTTGTCATGGATTTAACCCTTCATTTCTTTTCCTTCCAGGAGCAGGAGCTGAATGCCAGAGCTCGAGCTCTTCAAGCAACCTCTGCTTCTTGCTCATTCCGACCCAACGGTTCTGATGACAACGAGCCTCCTGGCAGCTGTGGGCCCTCAGGTGGGGGTGGAGGAGGCGGCTTCAATACCATCAGCAGACTCGTCTTCTAAGGAAGGGTCACAGACATAGCCTCAGAGCACTGGACAGTCCCACTGACAACACCGGACTTCAATTTTTTTTGTCCTGATTGCCCACAATATGGATAAGTGTGCCACCTCAGAACAGATGTGTCTTAATTTTTCTGGTTTGCATGCTTTTCCCCTTTCCATTGACGTTCATTTGAAATTAATTGAAGCACTTTGAGTACTATAGGTCAGAAATGGGCAGGCAATAAATTTGTACAGAATACAGTAATAATTACGGTCTCATTATGGAATCTTAATTGTTTCATTTTCTAAACAAAAATCATTAGGCAGAGAATGGTTTTAAAAATTAAAGCAAATATTTTTGGACCATACTATACAGTGAACTACTTGCATGAATATTTTAATTGGAAGTTTTTCAACTTCTGGTCTGAGGATTACAGTTATATCTGTTTTGTCAAAAAAAAAAAAAAGTTATAAAAATGACAAAAATATCAAAATTATTATAACTTCAAAATTAAAATGAAAACAAAATAGAAACAAACTATAGTAATATATAAATTGGTTTATACTGAACTCCAAAGCAACAATTAAAACAAGTGCTATTTCAGTGAATATTCTATGGTTCTAAGACAATAATCAAGTTGAGGTCTGTTTTGACTATCGGAGCATGAGACCTTTGTTAGTCACCTCATGGCTATCAATCCATAAGTCCACCCCCAGCATCCCAGTGTCCTCAGTTTGAACCACTGCACTCCTGTCCTTTGGTGAACCCTAAAACAATCTGTTTTTGAGCATGAAATCCAGTTAAAATCAGTACAACATCATTGTCCTTGTGCATTAGCTTAGAATAGACACTTAAGGCTGCGGTGAAGCACTCCTTTAGATGTGCATTTCTAAATTGGAGAACTAATACATGTAGCAAAGTTGGCTTTGTGGTTTTCAAATGTGGGCACCTTTAGTTCTTCAATCCCCCCAGAGCCATTAGCTTTATAACAGTGTTGCACCACTCGCACAGTCTCTAAAACCATTTGGTAAAATCAATGACTCTGAATTATTCAACAACTGATATCTACACATGTCTTTGCTACAGTTTAGGCCACTCCCACTGACACTTTATTCTGTAACACGGAAATTGTTATAATGTTGTTATAATACTGTAATAATCATCCTTGGGTTTTTTAGATCAATAATGGAAGAAAACAACCAAGGTGTTGATTGTAAATTATGTCGTAGACAAAGATACTTAATATAAATTATAGACACAACCTGAAATCACAAGATGAAAGATTATAGGATAATAAACTGACTAAATCAATCCTTTGCACTGAGCTGCAAATCACAGCAGAGAGTAGGCACAAAGCTTCAGAGATAACCAGTAAGGCGTTTAGCATTACAATAACATTCCAAAGATACCAATCCCACAAACATGAACATTCTTTACTGAAAGAAACTGTTCACTTTTCATCATTATAATGGTAATTATCAGTGATATAATCTTTAGTACCTATGCTTTTTAGTGTTTAAACTGTCTGCATTTCTCCATTTCTATAAATATGTAGGCCTGTGTAAAGTAAACTCCTGTATACAAAACTCAATTAGCTATTAAATGTCAGCATCATTAATTTTGACAATTCTGGTAGGTATGTGCAGTCTGTATCAAGACGTTCGCTTGTAACGTACTATGTTTTAATTGGAAGTCTATGTCGGACTCTTTTCTGCGATTCGGTTCTTTCGAACAGTTCATTTAAAGATTCAGTTCAGAAGCAAATTCGGTGATTCTTTTACGTACTGACGTAATTACGTCATCATGTGTTGAATATTACGTTTAATAAAGCCAAATCTAGACATGCCTGGCTGTTCATTACTTTTTGGGCTTTATTAATGGCGGTGTTTACTGCAATATTCACTTCAGTTTATTGCAGCATGATTCAACACACAAAAATATAAACGTATATATACATATATAAAAATAATTTAGTGCCTAAATATATTTTGCTGTCACATTAAACAACACAAACGTGTTTAGATTTCTTGAAAAAAAAAAAAAGGTTTTAGCAGACAAGATACTAATTATAGGAAAGGTATTATAAAATATATATATATATTTATAATAATAATCATATAAATGACCGATTGTGACCGTTTTACAAATCCTTCAGAGTGAGTTTGTGAACCGGCTCAGTCGAATCATTAAACAGATCAGACTCAAAAGAACAACACTACTTTATGATCGCAGTCTTAATCCGGATTCAAGCAAGTTTTATTTGGGACGTGGCTGAGAGATTTGTTTACACCGATTCTTTGAGCCACCGTCCCAGTGTTTTCCTTCTGACGGGGCAACACTCCAAGACTACATTTCCCATGATGTAATGCTCTTTATTCTCCGTCTTGGCCGACTTCTCCCTGCCTCCACAGGCCAGAGGAGGCTGAGTTTAGGGAAAGTATCGACGTTTATGCTTGTCAATCAGCAGGAGCCGTGGAGAGTGAAACTGGAGGGAAGGTCGACGATCGGGACGGATTTCTAGTCCAAAAAGCACTTCAGTGCTAATGCGACCATAATGTTTTGGAAAAATAAGTTAAAACTATATATATTTTCAAGGAAACTGTTTTGGTTTACTTTGAAATAAGGTAATCAAGCAAAGCTTTCACTACGGCGAGTGTCACTCGCTGCCTCGTTGCATTTCAGCTTGAAAACAGCGGATTATTTACACAGACAAAGTGTGTAAACTAAAAGAGGGCTCAACTACAGACGTCTATTGCTGTGTTTGATATTCGCCAGAAGAGAGGACTTCATCCAGAGGAGTTTGTGTCGCTGTCGGGAAGCTCTTCCCTGTGGACGTGCTGGAAACCAGGAGGAGTGACGGTATTTGTGTTTGTTTTAATAAACGCGCTGAAAACACTTGGGCGCAACTTCCACCTCATATTTTGGGACTTTGGTTTCATATGTTGCAGGTTGGAACACGAAACTTAAAGCGCGTATTTTCCTGGAAGGTAAGAAGAAAATGAGCGGAGGAGAGGTGGTGTGCTCGGGGTGGCTCAGAAAGTCTCCACCTGAAAAAAAGTTACGGCGTTATGTAAGTAACGTTTTAATCTTATTCAAATGCACTGACAGTGTTGTAACCGCAGGACTGTTGGGGCAAGATTCATGCAAATTTAGAGTACGATTTCCAACAACTGCAGGTCAATCACTGCTCGCGATCTGTCGGTTAAGGCTTTTTTTTTTTCGTTCAAAAATGCTGACGATCCAGGAATAGTTTGAAAACGGGATCAGTTCCTCAAAAATGTGTGATCGAGTGTATGAACGCTGTCTGTGTGTTCATAGCACTGAAATGGTTGTGAAATTCGCATGTGCAAAATCCTTATTTGTGGCGTCTTGATCAGTTCTTTAGGACACACCTACCGGTGTTGGGAGATAACTTTTTTTTGTTTGTTTTTTTAAAGGAGCATTAAGTATTTTTTTTTCTGATTAAAAAATTTACACTCAAATTAAGAGCATTTTTGAGAAATATCACTTAATAATGTACACTATGAGACTCTCACATGCCAGTTTTGTAGAAAAGGCTGTTTTCTTCTACATGGAGTGGGTCGCCCCCTCATGGGCTGCGCCATGTTGACATCACATGACATAATTGATCAAGGTATGCATAATAATAACAACAAAAATCATGTTTGCTTAATATAGCACTTTTAGCTAGAGGTTAGGGTGTAAACATACAAGTAGGCCTGCATATAAATAGTTACAAGCGCAAACAGAACACAAGGATGGTCACTCACAGCAGACAGAGAACTTGTGGTAGTCTGGTCAGTGAGGTGCAGCAGCTAGCCACCAATAACATGCCAATAATCTTTGGAATTGAATCCAAGAATGTCCATAAGTGGATGCATGTTGTATGAGGTGGGGGAAACAGAGACAAAAAAGGAACAGAACAAAAAGTGTAAGAAACCGAACAAATTTCATGCATCCATTGCAATAGGAGTCAGTACAAGTCCAAAGTGTCTGGTACAGTTGGAAACGATAAGAGCCAGCTGTGCATAAACCTTAGTGATGCTTATTGTTTTAATGGAATGTGGCTTGACCCGCAGAGACACCACTATCATACATCTAAATCTAAACATGTTTATGTTCAGTTAACTCATGCAAAAGTTGTTAGCAACATTCTTTAGTGCAATAAACTGTGACAGTAATTTGTTTGCAGTAGGCATGGCTCTTTTGAAATCTAATGACAACTTTTAAGTGTGGTTCAAGCCGAAAGCTATTGTTTATATGCATCAAGGTTGCAGAAAACAGTGCTGGTATGGATAGATTAAATTGGAATTAAATTGAATGATATCATTTGCACTGCTTGCGCCAATGATCATTACATTGAAGGCTGGTTCCTTGATCTGTGTATTTTGAGTGTTTTGTATTAAATATATTGTCACCTTACATTTGCAAGGATTTCAAGATTTTTCAAATATTTCACCAAATCATATGAAATGCCTTTGTTTGCTGCTACTTTAGTTGCCAAGACAACTGAACCCCTAACTCTCCATTCTGTCTGCACAGGATGACTCAATGCATTTAGTCATTCACACATTGTATGTGTACCATGGGGTCTTCCCTTCCTCTTAGTGGTAATATACACCAGTAATCTGTAATGAAATCACTCACTTACAGCTCTGCCTGCTATCGAGCCCCAACCAAACATGTTAGAAATCTCCTTCAGGCTCATGTGATGCTTTTTTTTTTTTTTATTGGATTCCTTTAATCTGGTATAGCTCTGCTAGGAACATTGCTATTGAATTCATGTTTTATCTCATTGTGCAATCAGTAACACGGTTTAGACTCAAACAGCCAAGTATTTGGCATATTTTGCCATTGTTTAGAAGGAACATTCGAATGGCAACTATTGCATTTGGCCTTGTATGCACAGGCTTGAGAGACGGGGTGTGATTTCACATGCTTTGGGCTTCCAGAGTAAACGGTAGTCTGTTGAATGTGATGAACAATATTTCATGGCTCCAAATCTAATTAAAATGATTTCTGAGCTCATCCACACAATGCTATAATAAGATTAGATCCAGGAAAGAACAAGTGCTTTGTTGTAACACACAATGTTCTCACAAGTAATTTTTAGATTTCCTCTTGCTTGAGACACGTTTAAGCAAAGTGATTGTGGAGAAAAGCCTTTGTAGTTGTTTAGTTGGTTTTTAGAGTGAGATGAGAAACTTCCTTCCCTTTATCCCTCCTTTCTTGTTGCAGTAAGTTTACAGTCTAGGTTTGCTGTAGTTTTGAAGTGCCGTCCTCAACATTAGTCTCAGTCTGTTTTCTGGTGCATGAAGGTGGAGTTGTCTCAGTGTTTCACATGTGGCTGATTAGGACCAGACTGTTTTTATTGGAGCCGGGTGGCTACTAAAATACTTCTCCTCAAAAGGAGCCCCATGCCAGGTGTACGGGCCTATTAGTGATTCTATATCTGTTTTTGACCAGTTATGCATTGATCAACATCAATTTTAGATACATATTGCAATTCCTTATACTGTGATTGCACTGAGAAACTTCAGATAGCCCTGTCATTTTTGTTTGCTTCAGATGACTTGTAGACATCCTCCAAAAATGTACACTACCATTCAAAAATTTGAGGTTGGTAAGAGTTTTTTTTTTGTTAAAGAAATTGAGAAATAAATGTTTCTTGAGCAGCAAATCAGCATATTCGAATGATTTCTGAAGGATCATGTGACACTGATGAAAATGGCTGCTAAAAATTCAGTTTTGCACAATAGAGAACTGTTTTTTTAAATTGTAATGTTGTTTCACAATATAATTTTTTTAGCAAATAGATGCAGCCTTGGCCAGCATAAAACTTTAAAAGCATTACAAAATCGTGCTGACCTCAAATGTTTGAACAGTAGTGTTTGTTGTTCTAAATCCATTGTTTATTAGCCCTCATTGTGTTCCCTCTTATGTCTAAACCAAATGGAGCTCTTCTTGAGTCTTTAAAAGAGTTTTTAGGTAGCTTATGTCCTATTCATGATTGGAACACTTCTGAAAAATCAGAAAAGACATGCAACCAGCAGCCTCAAAACAGGATCCACTCTGTTGTTTTATAATTAAAAAGATGACTATCATTTGCATCTGAACCAGCTGGAAATTTGAATGCTTTGAACATGTTATGTAATCATTACAGTGGAAATGACACAATAGCACTTTGTTTCATTATATGAAAGATCTGAGATGGTGTCTAGCTTCTCACGAGAAGTTTTTGCATTTTATATTCTAAATCATACTGTTATAAGGACTAAAAGAAAACAGTAGATCAGCTGATTTTTCTGAAAAATTCATTGCACGTTCTCTGAATCCTCTAGTGCTGCAAAGCTTTAAGCGGCACAGGGTCAAAAGTCTGATGTGTTTTTGACGGTTTGGCAACAGTTCAAGAGCAGAGCAGATGATTTGACTCGACTGTTTAAAGGGAATGTTCTTGATGGCTCAAAGAGCACAGTGCTTTACTGAGGGTCGTCTCAGACAAGTAACTAGCTACTATAACAGAAGTATAATAAAGGGGGCTACCTGAGTATAAAAATAGTTTTTTTTTTTTTTTTTGGCCTGTCCATGCGAGACATGTGACTGGTGGCATCAGAAGATCATAAGTTATTACTCCCCACAATAGCCACACCATATTCCTCAAACTGGACTATGACGTGAGTTAAAAATGTCCCCGTCGGCTCATTTTTTTTAGTGTCTTAGCATTTTCTATTTGGCCTCATCCTCTCTTCTTTGTAAACTTCTTCTTTCACACCCTTCTCATAATGCTTGGAGAGACTAATTGTGAAAGAGCCAAATGAAGTTGGGAACACATGTACGGTACAGTAATGTGGCAACTCAGATTAAAGCCTGGAGTGTTAATGCTCACTTCTGCTATTGAGACTATTTCATCTCATGTGATTTCTTACATGGAGCTCATCTAGATTGTACTTACTTATGTATATTTGTATTTTTTAAGGTCAATTTCTGTTTAAAATGTTATTGTGTGTTTTCAAAAACACCTACAAAATTCACTTTTAAAGGATATGCGTATTTAATCAATTAAAACCAATCAAACTTTCTTGAAAATCAGAATGCCACTCCCCCTTTATCTAGTAGCCAATCATTGTTCATGTAACTTAAACCTACTGGCTAATTAAAAATATAGGGTTTAGTGCTGTCAAGTCGATTAATTGAGATTAATCGTGATTAATTGCATCCAAAATAAAAGTTTTTGTTTACATAATATATGTGTGTGTGTGTAGGGCTGCACGATAAATCGATTCGACAGAAGCTGCGATTGTCATGCGTATCTTTCAGTGAAGCACGGTTCTGTGATCAGCAGTAAATCTCCATCCAAAGGCCAGAGGGCGCTCTCACGCTGAAACTCCAAATACGCCTCGCAGAAGAAACCCAGGAAATGCCTATTGCTGCAGCTGAATAACCCGAAGATTCAGCTGCTTTCATTGATTCAACGTGACTAATAAACACACGATTATGACAATATATGGTTTATCTTTCATTATTATTATAAATTTAATAAAATAAAGTATATTTATAATGCAATGCCTTTATCACTGCTTAGAATACTATGAAATATGTTGCGTGCCTTATTCTGTGTAAGAAGCCACATCATCTCACAGAAGGATTTATTTCAAACACATAACTGACGCTATGAAGGGAGTTTGGAGTAAAAATATGTTATTAAATGTGGTATTTTCACATGCTTTCAGATGGAGCAGCATTTACTACACAGAGCCGTAGTTCACTGAGAAGCTATGCACACAGCTGTCATTATCGCGAACGATTTCTTCGATTTCATAATCGCGCAATAAAATCGTCTTAGATTTTTTTGCATAACTTGTCAGTGAACTACGGCTCTGTGTAGTAAATGCTGCTCCATCTGAAAGCACGTGATGATCATTTACTGCTGATTACAGAACCGGCTTTACTAACAAAATGCGCATGCCAATCGCATTCGATTAATCGTGCAGCGTGTGTGTACTGTGTACTCTGTACTTAATATGTATATATAAATATACACACATACATGTATATATTTAAGAAATATTT